GAGTATATGTATTTAAAGTGAGTACAACAAATTTGTGAGTACAACAAATCATAATACCAAATTCCAAACGCCACGTAGTTTCTTCAAAATATTTTTACTTTTCCGAATTTCTCTATTACGGAGATTATTTTACTTATTTGGTTGATTTATTATTTACATATATAATGGTCTACATTAGTAAAATAACCAATGCACAGAATTCAACTTACATTTATGCAAACTTATGTTACAGTTACCTTATGCATTCCACTACCTTCGTATCAGCATTTCATTTGGGTGAGTCCATTTTACCCGTAGAGACCTTTTCGTCCCTTCGGGACTTCGTAGATTAAATTACGATATAATATAAGGAGAACATTATTAAAAACGTACTCCTTGTGAATTGGTTTTAGAATCACAATATCTAAGTAGTGGAATAACGAAGTGATACGTATTTTGTATTATTGGTTTTTATGATATTTTTTTCATATTAATATGTTTTTGTGACTTTAATAAGATAATAATGTTTTATGTATTAATTGTTCTGAATATTGATTGTGTGATTGTAATATAATTTAAAATATTATGGAATCTTAAAGCTTTGGGAGATTTGATTGATTCATATCTTCCCTCTATAAAATAAAAATAAATTCAAAAGCTAAAACCCGTCAACAGCTAAATCACACTAAAAAGTTTGAAACAAGAAATTTATTTTATAGCGATAGCTATATTATAACAGCGATGACTAAAAGAAAGCGTAGTCGTATGCCACTAATCATAAAAAAACAAATTATTGTGGCATACGACTACGCTGTCCTTTGGACACATTCGTCAGGTGGGTTATCCCTCCTTTTCGCTGCGCCGTAGTCGGGTAAAAAATAAAATATATTAGCCCACTTCGTATTGTGGCAATCTGAAGCAAGGTACCACGACTCTCAGACACAAGTCAATATATAAAATAAAAATTCTTATTTTACATTGACCCGACCGGGAATTGAACCTGGAGCTCAGGGATAGCGATAATCGGCCACGGAAATTGTCATACAGTTATTGAAATTCTGAAGAAAAACCGACTAAGTACGAGCTGGACGAAGGGTTCCGTATCGAAAAGAACAAAAAAATCACGTTTGTATATGGCGTTTGTTGTATGTCAGCTCCGTTAAATATTTATTTTTTAGTACACAGAACACGGAAAAGAGGTTCTAGTATTTATTGCTATAGCGGCAACAGAAATACATCATCTGTCAAGATTTCAACTGTCTAACTTTCACGGTTCATGAGAAACAGACAGTTAGACAGACAGTGAAGTCGTTGTAATGGGGTTCTCATTTTACTCTTTGGGTACTGAATCCTAAAAATAAGACCTCTTTAAGATAAAGGCATACTGTTATTTTCAGCCTTTAGATCAGTGCCTATTGGCAGATATTTGCAACCACACCTGGATACCTGAATGTGGGAAGGATATCAACACTGAACATCTGAGGCTCTTTATTGATGAATGTGATATGTTTGAATACAACTGTGACTATGGGAAACGTATGCTAAAAATATTTTTTTAAGAATTATTTTTTGCTTGATGTATACCTTAATAATTAATGTATGTATTTGCTATACCATTTTATTTCGGACGCCATACTTTTGAAATTGTTTCATAATGGGCATATTTTATTTACTTGTGATATATCACCTTAAATTAAATTATATTAAATATTAAAACATCACATACGTTGCTCAGATTCCAAGATGAGTGGCTAAAGCTTCCGTATTATGGAGTATCTGAGACAACGAAGGTAACAGAACACCCAGACCCGAGACAATATAGAAAAGTCCTTTTTCTACATTGATCCAACCGGGAATTGAACCCGGGACCTCAGAGTTGGCGACACCTTGAAACCGGCGCGTCCGAACCACATGGCTCATCAGTAGAGGTCGTAATTTTTTTTTTATATAATTATCATTTCTATTTCAGATCATGAACCAGTGAACTATTCAGACTGTTTCGGTTATATGGCAGGTTGTCCTACACAAGCACCGTGTCCCTCAAATCCTACATGCCCAAATCATAGATTTCACAGAGCCGGAGATCATTACATATACGTTTCTCAAGCGAGAAGAATGTTACATAGACCTACATTGAAAGTGTCGCTACCTCAATACATGTTACACGGAAAGAGAAGGTATACACCGAAATCTAAAAAGAAAATAAGAAAAGTGTCAGTGTCCGCAAAAGTAACTGCAAAGAAAAAATGTTCCTTCACCACGACAAAATTAAATGAAATGACGAAGCCAATGACTAGATATACAAATAAACCAATGATAAGTCAGATAAAGAAAAGAACGGAGAATATGGTAATCTTAAGAAGAGAAACGGTTATAAAGAATGGTAGGAGATGGATTAAAGTTATCAAAGGCAGGAAATCACAAACAAAATCGATGAATATAAAGACTAATATTATTAAAGAAGATTCTGATTTCTTAGAATAAATAATTGATTGTTTATATATTAAGCTACTTCTAATTTAAATATACTTTGTACGTAAAATGATTGAAAAATTAACGTAGAACAAGAACAAGTACGTTATCCGCGTATAATGTTCCTGTAGGTGAAAGAATTTTCGTGATCTGATTTACCAATAAACAAAGTTAGAAACTTTACCTTTAATATTAGTATAGATTCATCAGTTTGGAAGAATCGACATCTGTATGTCAGGAGATCGTACAAGATGGAGGAATGTGGTCACAGTTTATTTCACCATGAAAGCGGCGAAATATCGCACGTTGAGAATGACAATGTCACCAACCAAAAACGGCGTATTTCTTACTTTTGGCAACATTCTTCTTTGTTAAGTATAAACTTTAAAATGCAAAGATCCCTGTGAACGTAGTTTGCATAGAAACTGCTAGGTGGCGTAGTGACGATACCATGTTTAGAGGGGTGGACTACAATTTCTTGAACTTTAAACGCTATTACTGAAAATCGCATTTTTTGCATTGTGTCACTATCGTTCTCAGTGTACGATATATAGATTTAGGTTGGGGATAAATGCATAATTATTAATATAGGTATAATTAGTATGAGAATATGCAATTACAATCAGTAATTTTAAATGTAGTTATAAAAAGGTTATTTATTTAAGTTTCAAATAAATTCGAGCAGCAGGGAAAACTTTTCGCTTGCGAAAAGGTTAAACGTTGTTTGGAAAGTATAATGAAATGAAATATTACTCCTATATTTAGGTTTTGCGTCGGGGTTTCTTATAATTTGATTTCATAATAACGTAACACTATACTTTGGATACAGATTCATCTACATGGACACGGGTGTAGACAGTAAATATATTTATAAATATTTCTGGTAGTGTGTAATATACTATTACTGATAATCACACTTTTATTCTTATTATATTTATAATATTGCTTAAAATAATTATGAAAATAAAAATTTTAGCGCGTAAGTCACGTTCTTACTCACATCAGAACTTAGATTCAGAGAACGATATAGTTTAAGAGGGGCGTGACGTCATAGGGACGCCATAACAGAGGGTAGCGTTTTGGTGGGAAATTTTGATAATGAAATAATTTTTTATATTTTAACTTATTATATGAGTGATACTTTTTTATAGTGTATATTTAATGTATATCTGTAAAATAAAAATATAAAAGATTGACAACACCCCTTTTGCGGGATAGTGAATCTTAGGAATCATTTCTGAATAAAAATGCCCTATGTTTATGCCAAATTATTCTTAATGAAAAATTCATTATTAAGAATATTTTTCAGTATGGCATTGTGAATGAAAAATTGATCAAATATAAACATCATTATTAAATTCACTACCATACTTTTTTAGTTGTTTTTGCACAAAGAAAGAAGAACTTTTAACCCAGACTTTTCATTTGAAATATTAATAAAAAAGTACGTCTCTTTATCGCAATTATCATTATAAAAAATTTTATCAATTATGCATTCAAAATGTTACACTGAAACATATTCTTAATGGAAATGTTTAAAAAATGCACTTAATCCCTGGCACTCTGAGATGGGACTCGAACCTACAACCCTTCGCAATCCGGGTGACTGCTTTAACCACTTAGCTAGCCAAGACCTAACAGGACTGTCGAATTTTTCAAGCATTTGTTACTTTTTCACTACTAAAGAGCGTTTTTTCATTAATGCTCAGGTGGATTTTTAAGCATGTTTCATTAAGAACACAATTATGATGATCTTTAAAAATATGCAGACTGTTGATGAAATTTCAGTATAAACATGTAAGTCTTATATAAACAGCAATTCTTGTAGTAATAAAATACAATAAAAATGCAGAGTGAATTTCTTTGTTTAATGTTTCAGCAATAACATAAAAAATGGATTCTGTAACTCTAGTAAACATATTGAAAAATCGTGAAAAACACATACTGAAAATAAATAAAGTCTCAAAATGAAAAATGATATAACTTTACTTATCAGTAAGGAAATGTTTTCTTATATACTTCCATTATCACATTATGTTATTAATATTTTTTGTAACATTTATTTCAGTAGCTATTTCACAAATTCCTCGAGCATCACATCATTTTGTCTCGGTAAATAAACAATTAATAAATCCTTTTGTCGTATTGAAAAGATAATTATATTTTATTTTCATCAAATTTCAGTTTGGAAATCCCTGTTACTTAGCGTATACCTGTAACCATACTCAAATTGCTATATGTGGCTATAATAACGAAACGTTACATAGAAAGATATTCGTAGACGATTGTCACATGTTTGAATTTAATTGTCATAATAAAGCAGGTTTGTGGTTCATCTTTAATTACAATGTTAATACATAGTAAAATATTATTATATCCTTTTTTTTACAGAATATATTAAAGTAGATTTAGTTGAATGCCACGACTGTGATGCGATGTCTACAACGTCAGCGTCTACAGACACAACTTTTCTAACTACTGCTCTAATTAATACTACGATTTCAACGCCATCCATAACAGAATCAACGAATGCAACTTCAAATTCAAATATGACTACAAATGCTATATTAACTACTAAGCCTCTTTCTACTGTCATGTCAGAACTTACAGAAAGTAGAGAGACAAAATATACCGATATTATAGTAACAGAGTCAACTATAACCACAGTAGAACCAAAAAAAATAACGTCTACTGAAACGGAAAAGTTACCATTTCATACTTGCGGTTGTGCTACAGCAAATACTATATCAACTACTGAATCAACAACTACTACAAAATTTATAGAACCGACCGCTGAGACAACACTAGAATCCACGACTACAACTTCGACAATTATAACAACTGAAAAGCCAGTTACTCAGACTTGCGGCTGCGCAACAGCAACAAATCCAATGACTCAAACCTTTCTTTCCTCAGAAATAACAACTTCAAATGTAACAGAGTCAAACCCTAGCGCATCACAAGCTATAGATACTATTAATGTTACAAAAAATTTAACAGAATCCACAAAATCGATGCATTTTGTAACTTGTGGATGTGCCACAGCAACAGCGTTGACAACTACGATTGCAACAACAACAACACCCGTCACTAGTACTACAACAACACCAGCAACTATGACTACAACAATACCAGCAAATACGAGTATCACTACAACAACACCAGCAAATATTACTACTACAACATCAGAAACATTAGCAAATACAACTAAAGTTACAGAATTAGTAACTACTAAAGTTACAGAACCTACTGAAGGTGAACAAAATTCTTCAGTAACTTGTGATGGCTTTCCAAAAGATTGTAACAGACCTTCGACTTGGGAGACAACATCTGAGGGAGAGACCAGAGACTTCTTCCAAATACTGAAAGCACGTTACGGACGACGAGCAATGTTATTAGCAGATACGACTCACTGGCCTACTCGTTTGGGTTTCTTCATAAAAAAGAATACAGGAAATAAATTTATTTTTGGTAATCATAACGAAATACGAAAATAAGGGAACTGTGATTGATACTGAGAAATTATAATTTATTTCAATAAAGAATACTAAGAGACCAGTCAGTTCTCTTATTTTAGTAATTGATTTCAAGATACATGGAACAAATGTCTGCACGCCTTTACCTAATTAATAATAATTCAATACGAGAACCTAGGCATACCGGTTGGAAAATATAAAGATATCAGTATATAGGCTTAGCCAGCAACGTTTAATTATTTTGTGTAAGTGCCCATTCACTTTAGTAAAAATTTACCAAAATATCATTCTCTATGCGAGATTGCCTTTGTGTTATAAAGGATTTCTATAGGTTCAAAATGTAAAGTGATGTGTTTTTAATTTTTGGGAAATATATATAATGACATCAAGTTAGTATTTTATGAATCATGCAAGCAACAGAAACATTCTTCTTCTTTTTAACAACAACAAACATTATTCTTCTCCAACTAGTGAAGGTTGGCCATCAGCTTTTTACAACTGTCCCTAGTTCCCGCGAGTTGGAACAGCTCGGCTGCGCTAGCTATTACCATCGACTCTCTGATATTTCCGAGCCACGATTTCTTCCTCTTTCTAACGCTTATCTTCCCAAGAATTTTGCCATCATTATAAGTTGTAGTAGTTCGTATTTCAGATATAAACAGAGCCATTGAAGACACATGAATGAGGTTTAATCGAATTAGGACACATTTACTATCTGGAGAAAGCCTTAATAAAGCCAATATCAAAATAATCTTTATTAAAATAGACTTCTTTAAAGTAATTTTGAATAGTCATCAACCTAGTGCACCAAAATGTTCAAGGAATGTTGAGCAAAGAGTTGGAAGTGGAATTATTCATGAACTGTAACAATGTTGATTTTTTCTGTATTACGGAACATTGGTTAACAAGTTATAATTGCATTTTTAACTTCAATAATCACCTGGTTGGTAGCGCGTTCATTAGGAAAAACGCAATGCGTGGTGGCGCACTAATTTTATTAAATAAAAAGTTTAAATTTAAAGAACGTAGAGATATAGTGAGCCTATCGGTTGAGGAAATAATAGAGATTGCCTGTATAGAGCTGGACCAGCTGATTGTACTGAGCGTATATAGACCTCCTTCAAGTTTAGTTTCTCATTATGATCTCTTTGAAACTGTTATGGATGAAGCATTAAAAAAGGTATATAGCAAAGGCAAACGATTAGTGATTGGGGGTGATTTTAACGTTGATTTATTAGGAAACTCCAATTCATGTACAAGACTTGTAAATCTATTTATGTCCTATAATCTTGCGCACATGTTTAAGGAGCCTACTAGAGTAACTGCTACTTCGTCCACATGTATTGACAACATTTTTACAGATCTAGTACCACTTTCAAGACAGATAATTAAACAACTACCGTCAGATCATTTTGGACAACTAGTTAGCTTTCCGCATAAATGTACGTTTGTGGCTAGGAGAGACATTACAGTTGTGTCAAAAAGTATGAGTCGCTTGGAACGTTTTAAAAATCAATTAGATAGTAAATTGTATCATTTGAAACATAATAGTAATCCCAATGATTTGTACAAAGATTTCTTTGATGTTTATTGTACAGAATTCAATAAGATTTTTGTCCCAAAAAAAATAAGTATTAGTAATCCTATAACTTTTAGTGTGTGGGCTACACCAGGAATCTACAAAAGCAGAAAAAGGCTCTATGAACTATATGATGAACGTAATTATAACACAAGTGAGGACTTCAAAGAATATGTACGAAATTACTCTAAATTATTTAAAAAAGTGTGTCGTTTAGCCAAATGTAATTATTTAAATGCAAAAATTGAAAATAGTAAAGACAAAGTTAAAATGACGTGGAATATCATAAATAGTGAAACTGGAAGAGAAAAATCCCGGAATATAAATTTTAATTTAAACATTGATAATAAAAAAGTAACATCAGATCTTGAAGTTGCTACAGTATTTGAAAATTTATTTACTGAAATTCCAGTCTTAATTACACAATCTTTGAATTCCTCTTCCACTGTTGCTGAATCTATTTTAAAGGCAAGTTTAAATAATTCTAATAGCCAATTTAAGTTTCAACACATTGATTTTAAAGATATAATAAAATCTTTTAATCAGCTAAAGAAAACGAAAACTGCTGATTTATGGGGTAATTCCATTGAAGTTTCTAAATCGGTAATTGAGACAATAGCTCCAATCTTAGCTTATATATTTAATGAATGTACTGATTGTGGTATTTTTCCTGAGCTCATGAAATATAGTAAAATTATTCCTTTACATAAATCGGGTAGCACATCTGACCCTACTAACTTTAGACCTATATCCGTGCTACCTACGTTTAGTAAGATTTTTGAAAAAATCATGCTGGATCAAATACAAACGTACTTTTACAAGAATAAGCTTATGAATCGACAACAATTTGGTTTTACAAGGGGTCGCTCGACAACCGAAGCCGGTGTCGAGTTAATACAAGAAATTTTTAATGCCTGGGAGGATTCACATGATGCGTTAGGTGTTTTCTGTGACCTATCTAAGGCATTTGATTGTGTTTTTCATGAAACATTGATTAGGAAACTGCATTTTTATGGATTTAGAGATAACTCATTGGATTTTATTGTCTCATACTTGACTGACAGAGTACAGAGGGTTGATATCAATGGCAAAAGATCCCCTGGATCGAAAATTAAGATGGGCGTTCCGCAGGGCTCAATACTTGGTCCTTTCTTGTTTTTGATTTACATAAATGACTTGCCTTATTTCGTAAGGGATGATCACGAAATAGTTTTGTTTGCGGATGACACTTCACTCTTGTTTAAAATTAAAAGAGGGTTACCTCTAAATGACGATGTGAACAATTCTATCGCTAAAGTAGTACATTGGTTTAATGTAAATAATCTTCTCCTTAATGAAGGAAAAACAAAATGCTTAAAATTTGTACTACCTAATGTTAAAAAAGTAGATATAAATGTTAATGTAAAAGATAAGAACATGGGCCTTGTGGATACCACAGTATTTTTAGGAATAACATTAGATTCTAAACTACAGTGGGGCCCACATATTGATAGATTGTCGAGTAGACTTAGCTCTGCAGCATATGCCGTAATGAAGATACGTAGGTTAACTGACATAGATACTGCCAGATTAGTATACTTCAGTTACTTTCATAGTGTTATGTCATACGGTATCCTATTGTGGGGAAATGCTGCCGACATACAAACAATTTTTGTGCTTCAGAAAAGAGCAATTCGATCAATTTATAATCTTAGGATTAGGGACTCTTTAAGGGAGAAATTTAAGGAAATAGACATTATGACTGTTGCTTCTCAATACATATACGAGAACTTAATGTACGTTCGTAAAAATATTAGTTTGTTTTCTATTAAAAGTGATGTACACAATTTTAATACAAGAAATAAAAATAAATTAACGGTGCCTGTCACTAGACTGCAAAAAGTTAATAACTCTTTCAAGGGTCTTTGTGTGCGCTTCTACAATAAGGTCCCAAGCAAAATACAACAATTAGATATCATGCAGTTTAAATCTACTATTAAAAAAATACTTATTAAAAAAGCTTATTATAAGGTATCCGATTATGTAACAGATAAGAACGCTTGGACTTGAGATGATCCAGCAACTGGATAGGTGATTACTTCTAAACTCATTATCTTGTTTCCATTATTATTAAATGATTATGTTATTATTATAAGACCATAGTTTATTTTTTATCTCTGTTTATAATGTATTGATCTGGTAATGACATGGTTTTTGTAAATGTCATTACTCATATTAGAGCTGGTGAGTTTCTTGCTCGTTCTTCTTATCAGCCAAAAGACGTCCTGAACGAGTGGTAGGGAAAAAATGTTGGACGATTCAAAAGTACTTTTAAGAAGTCTATTTGAATAAAGATTATTTTGAGAAGAACCAAAATGATGTAGTAGATGGTAAATATTCTGTCAGATTCATTCAGGAATCAAACTCAACTTGTTCAGAAGGGCAGGTTATTGATATTGGATCGTGTAGAACAAACTTTAGATGCTGCGATCTTTTGTTCGTTCAAGTATGTGGTTGTAATGTCAAGGTTTGATACAGATAGCGAAATAACGAGTCTTAATGCTTATATTGTTAGCGAATTAGAGGTTGCAAAATGATTTGTCGGTGTTTTTATATGAGACCAATTTGAGATACGTATATGTATGTCATTTACTTAATTTTCCAAATGTCCATTGTTCTATTTAATAATATCTTTTATACATATTATCATAAAAACTGTAGTCAAGAAGTTCTTAAGAAATACCTTATTACATAATTTAAATAAGATTATTTGTTAAAGGTATGAATGAGTTAAATTGGTTTCTTTTACAAACACAACTCTTGAGCATAGTAGTGATGATCTGGTGAGCTTCTTGCTGAATCCCGCAGCAGGTTTTGCCTGGTAGGTCGTCTACGCTTCAACATATCTTAATAAGGCATAAGGTGTATTTACCCTGTGTTACTAAAAAATGTATAGTGAACCTAGCGTTTTAAACAAGGGTTTGCACAAATAGACGATGAAATAAAAAAAATATATGAAACTTCTTTTTGTGGAATCAGGGATATAATAGAGTCATATTTGTTTTAGGTTAAAATGTTAAATTATATTAATGATTTTTTTCATCAAGGACGGTTGCAAGTACAAATTTTAATATTTATTCAATTTTGGAACCGAATACAATATTATATAATTAAATTATACCTATTATAATAGATATTTCGTTTGTGTTCTGTAAAAATTACGTTTTGTTTCTTGTCTCAAACGCAACTGATGTTGAAACAACCTTGTAAAAGCTGCATTGAACTTGACCATGAATTTTATGTTTTCTCGAAGACTCTTTATCTCTGAAGAGCTACGCACGTCAATCATATTTGTACCTTTTATGTATATGTTACGGTAACATAAAACAAAGTCAATTTATTAATAATTACTAAATATTTATGAATGATAACAAGCCGCATAAATTATTATAGCCTATGTGACCAGCGTATGATGTAGCTACCCGTGGGTGGAATAATATTCATGGCCGGAACAATCAATAAAAAAACGTAATAATCCCATCTCAATTGCATTTTACCATTGCATTATGTACCTAAAGTCCTGTATTATTAGTGCAATGTCGTGCAAGTAGAAAGTAACAGATATATAATAATATTGAACTTCAGGTACATAGTACAATGGTAAAATGCAAGTCGTTGAGATTCTATTGAGATGCAATTATTACATAAATGTTAGCTGCTACTAACGTTTATGCAATAATGCT